TCTTAGTAACAACCAAGATATCCGATTGTCTGACGTATAAACAAACGACGATTACTTTCGTGATCCAGTGAGTTGCACAACGGTTTTCATGGTGTCGCCATCTCTAAGGTTCCGGGTTCGACCCCCGGCCGGGTTAATGTAGAAAAACTAACTTTTCTATACGTCTTGGGTCTAGATATTTGTGGTACCAACGTTGTTTCCGATTTCCATAACACAAGCGCTTTAGTTACTTATTTTGGGTTCGCAGCACTATGCGTGATGTTGTCTAATCTCTATCTCTCTCTATCTATTCCAGTTTACGTGTGGATCCTCTCGAAAATCCCGCTTCTGGCTGATATTTACAAGGACTTAGCAGTAAGACCACTCAATCAAATAGGTGTTGCTTCTACAAGACTTATACAAGATGACTGGAAAAGTTGCGAGGCCCGACGCTACAATACTGCACCCGTAGAACCTGTGACTTTCAGATTTCCCGTAGTAACACACATACGCCTTAGTGAATATCATGAACCAATTTCACGAAAAGACAGTTACTGGTAAAATGTGTAGGGATAAAATTTATAATAGTTGTACAAATTCGTAAATAACTACTTAAATCTAATTGGAAGAATCAGTGATAAATATTTTCGATGCTTCCCAATTTAAGTAACAATGCACTCCCAAGCACGAGTGGCGTCAAATCAACTCCAGCCCTTAGAATAATAACGCATAGAATGATAGTTTCATATCAAACGACCTGTCACAAGTGAGGCAAAAATCAAATTCATGTAGGCTAGTTTTAGTAGTAGGTTAATTTTCGGTTTTAGTGAATATTTATATAAAAATACAAGTTGAAACGCGTTACTTCCTTGTGGAATGTGATGTTACTATCCATTTTATGTTTGTCTGACGTATTTTTACACTCATTTACCGCACATTTCGTCATTTTTAGATATAATTCTGGAGCTGTTCGCGGTGCAAGTTGACCTTGAGCACTGAAGGCCCGCCCGCTCGTGTAGGCCCATTGGGAGCGCTTCAATTTGCTTCACTTAGCATGTGCGGACTAGGTTTCTATGCGTTATTATTCTAAGTTTCAGTCAAAGTGCATTTTGCTACACAGCTGTGTGCATTTTGTGGTGAACACTGGGTCTCCGAGGGCTGCAAGAAAGGTTTCTCGCTAAGCTTTCATATTGCCCCGAAAAAGTATCTGGTAGCCTTTAAGTCTCTGGCTAAGGCTGGTAGTTACTTTCGCCAAAGAATAAGCTTAGCCATCCGAAATGGAAACGTCGCCAGCCTGTCGAGTACGATGCAAGGCGTGACCCTTGATAGAATTTTCTACCTCTAACTGGGAGAGTTAATAGTTACATACTTCTTCTTTTCTATTTGATATTATAACTAGTGTTAGGTCACGGAAAAATTTTTCAGAAAATAAATATTTTCCGAATATTTTTCCACATTTGACAGTTGCCACCTGTCAAAAGTTGAAGATATACTGAAGAAAAGCGATGGAGCCATTACAAAGATTTTTTTTACGCATGATTATTTTTTCCTCCGTTGTTTAATCATTTTAAATCTCGTTTTACTCTTGCTTTTAGTCGTACAATTTTATTTTATAATTCACGCTCATTGACTTACAATTATATGGACGTCGGGTCCGCGCTAAAAAGTGTC